CTCAACCTCCTAAACTTTCCAAAATTGTCTTCAGCTCATATAAAAATCTTTAACCTTTAACCTCTTTAGCATTAGCCTCACATTGTGTATGACTATTTTTAAATAACAACTTTTTTTTATTGATGTTGAAAGGCATTTAGAAGATCATTCATAAGAGAATTGTGGACCTCAAATCTGGAGTTAAGAAATCCTGGCTCCATATTCTCAGCAGAGGAGCTCTTTGGTCAATTACTAATTGGAAATACCTAGCACTCAAACAGCAGGAACGAGTGCATGTCTACTGATATAAGCAAGGACAGGAGGCTGTAGAGGAAATCTGTGGGCTAGCAACACTGAATGAGAGGCAAGGTCTCTTCGTCCAGTTGCACTTGAAGGATCTCTTTGGGTCACTTGGCTATTTACTCTAGAATGACAAAGGATGCCTCAGTACTTAGGGAATAAGTATCATATGTGTACTTCCATCAGGAAATGCAAGTAACACAAAGCTGATGGCCACAACTTATTCTTCTCCAGTGTGACGAGTGCAAAGACATCCACCCTTCTGGCTTCCTTCTATTTTTTCCAACCCTGCACACCATCAATGCCATCAGACAGTGCTCCTGACATGGAACACTCTTTGAAGACTTGGCAGTCCCTGGACCCCTAGATGCCTCCACTTCCCTTTCATGTGCACATCCACATCTTCGATGCAGAAAGGGAGCCAGGAAGCATAAAACTTAGTTATAATATAAATGAGAGCATTCAGAGGCCTGTTCCTTTGGCAATAAGCTTGGAAAAAGTCTTTGAACCCTATTTCTGTGGAAATTAAAATGAAAATAAACCAAAGGCAGCATCAGAAGCATCAGGGCAAAATGATATATACACTTACATATAAGGGTATTGATATAGACGCATATTTAGATAGATTTGTTACATATTTTATGCATCCATATTAAACCCACATATACAGATGGCCAAGCACTAACAGAGAGGCTTTATTTGGGACTCTGCAGTTCTGGTAACTGGATATTCAACCAAAAAGCAATGGAAGTGGTGAAAGGCACAGAACGGATCATGGGAACACTTTCTGGGATAAATTCTATTTCTTGACATCTTTATTGAAATAGGTTAGTCGTCTGTTAGACACTAACAACAAGCTTAAAATATATCAAAGCAATAATGAAAGATAAACCCTATGTGAATACTAAGATGGGAGCCAACATATGGTACTTCAGTGGCTTTAGATATGGGCAAAGACACGTATTCTGGGCCACACATTCAAGGACAGAGAGGCAGAAAGTGAAGAGGCTCATGTGCCAAATGGAAAGTCAAGGTGAACCCTCTGAACTTAAAGAAGAGTTGTTTAAAACGGTGTGCAAGACTTATGAAGCCTAAGTCCACACCTGGAAAAAGTGAGCTCCTGTCTGTGACCATTACTTTATGGAGTAATTTAATCAAAGGACAGAAGAGGAGAGGGAGAGTAAATCCATTTAGAAACAAACAGTATTCAAGATCTCTGTTTAACCACTTACATAAGAGCTGTTCTCCAAATATTAACCATTTTCCAATTACCAATCTAAAGAGAATTAAGTTGAAAATTCTCTGTAATCATTCCTTTGGTCAATTATTATTTATTGAGTGCCAACTTTGGGCTTGGCACTGGGTAAGTAATGAACAAAACCAACATAAATTTGGTCATTGTGAACTTCATAATCTGGACTGCCTGTTTGAGAATTCACCATCAGTGCTTGGTTACAGAGCATCAGAGAAGAAACAAAAAAATAAAACCCATGAAGCTTAGAGTCACAGAGCCCCATCTCCAAGGAGCACACCACAGCTCCGTTGGCTGTACACTAAAATCCTGGTTTAACTGGCTGGTTTGGATTTTTTTTTTAATGTTTATTTATTTATTTCTATACAAGAACTGGGGTATAGGCTAGAGGTGCAGGAGGGTGAGAGGATTCACCAGAGACAGAGCAGGGAGCAGAACAGGCAGATGAATAGAAATACACTGCTGAGGGGAGCAGCAGGCAAGACAGGAGAGGTCTGCTGCGCCATGTGGGTAGCTCCCTGGCTGGCCGGGAATCGAAACTGCACCACAAAGGCTGTGGACAGCTTCACAGAGCTGCGTTCAACCCACTGCGCCACTGGGGAGTCCCTGGTTTGGAATTTATTCATCACCTTCCCAAGGAAGCAACACCACCAATAATGTTTGGGTTCTCAGGTCAATCCATGAAACCTGAATTGCCATATATTCAGCTGCAGTGTGATTTAAGAGGTTTATGGTTTATGTGATGCTGGGCCCTTCTAATCAACACTATTAAACAACTGCAGTTTATAATCCAGAGGCTACTACTGTGAATTGAAAAGCTAAAGTGTGCCATGCAAAGGGTGGGCAAAAGACTGTCAATGCATATGTGTAGACCTAGCAGCCATCCTTGTCTTATCTGTCTCCAAGATAAGAGAATCTGAATAGGGTAGAATCTCCCCAAAGATGCATATGAAGGTAAGAGTTACATTTGGTATAGCTCATTTGTACATCAGCCACAGACCACTCATGTGGTATATGTAGTTCTGGCCAAGATTAAACACTATCACATACCACAGTTCCTAAGAAATCACAACTGATATATTTTCTGGTTATTTCAGATAGCCTAATGATATTTTATATTTTTAGGGAAAATATCATTAAGACACGATTTTTCAGCAATCCCCTCAGCTCTAATAACATTTAAAATACATGAACTTAACATCTTTTATGCCACTTCTTAGCACTTATTGCGCCAGCTTTGTTATCTTCTAGATCCCCGCCCCCCAAATTATCACCTCAGCTTCTGATTAGTAAGATAATAATAACCTCACCTTAGGCCCGTTTTGTTCAAGTTACACTTCAAACAGATGTGTAGTTAAAAATAGAAAAATAAGCTATCCTAAACAAGAACATGAGTCTCTATGACAGCTCTTTAAAAAATGATTTTATTTATGTTCAGGAGTAAGGGAATGGAACACACACTATAGTTGTTAGTGCCTGAAGGAAGTCATTTTCTGGCTCTGTGCCAAGGATAAGTAAAATCTTACAATACATTAAGGATACCCCAAGGTTATACTCAGAAAATGTCGGTGTCGAGGCAGTAATCATGCCAAATCATCCAAATAAAACACTTCATTCAAGTCTTAATACCAGTCTTTATGTGGTCTTTTCTGAAATGTCTATTTTTTATTCTCTTCCATCACTGCAGTGAAGAGTATGTTGCCATTTATAGATAATTCTAACACAAAGTGGAGCTCCTTAATATTGCTCCATGGGTTTCCAAACCTTTTATGGAGCTTCCAGACATATCTGCCTCTCTCTGAAGAGCCCAGTAGATGAAAAATCTCACACTAAATGCTGGAGATGTGCAAGGGGTAGTGCTACAATCTGACTCTGCAGAAAAGTCTCTGCTTGGGGACATCCACTGTAAATGTCTCTCTGGAAAGAAGGATCCTGACTAGAAAGAGGAAAGCAAATACCATGGCAGGTAGTTGACATGCAGAGTGCAGCAACCTGACCCAGTGTGCTAGAAGAAATGGGGATCCAGAAATCTGTGAAGCAATGAGTGAGTTCGGTTTGCAATGCCTCTCCCCATTCTTGTCACACTCAAAAAGAGCCCTGGTAGTCCACACTTACACCATTTGACAATGATTCTCTGAGAATACGTGGGCAACAACAGCATCAGTATCCCAATCTTTAAACCCACTGCAGACCTATTAAATCATAAACTATCAGGTGGCCCAGAAATCCATGATTTCACAAGCCTCCGGGGTTTCTGACACAATGTCAAGTTTGGGAACCATTGTAGGATTAATCAGAATCACTGTAGTAGAGACCTCTCCCAAGCATTATTTATAATTGGACAAAAGACACCTTCCCTCCTCCAAAAGAAAAGTGAAGGATCAGTGGGCCAAAAGGGGATTCAAGAGGAGGTTTGAGGGGGAATAGAGTGGGAGGAAGTTTAAGCACCAAAATACTGCTACTCCTCCCTATTCACTTTAGGTTTAGGGATCTCACAACAGAAGAAGAGAAAAACCTCAGATTTAGGTCTGAATTCTGAGAAAACCTCAGAATGAGTTGTCCAGGGTGTACTGGACAAGTCACTGCTTTCCAGGTAAGCAAGAAACAATAATAATAACTTAATGAACCACACAGATCAAAACAAAAAACAAAATCACCTGACTTTCTCTCCAACAAAACCAAGACATTATTAAACCTTCTTCACAATTTTCCCAAGCTAGAGGCTATTTATAAGAGATCATGCAAAGTTCAAATAACATATTGATCAATATTTAAGTATAAACTTCAGAGCAAATGCTTTTAAATCACTGAAACTCTTGACTATTTATATAACAAAAACATTAAGACAAGTTTCCCCCTAAAATGCATTCCAAATCCTCTAAAAGAGACCAGTGATCTATTGTTGGGCAACATAGTCCTTAATTTTTAATTGAGCACTGGGAATTTTTCCACTAATGAATAAAGCTACTCATTCACAAAGCTTCAATGTACCGCCAATGGCTCTTATTTTGTTTCCCAACACTTTAAATTTCAAAAGATGAGAATCTAGGAAAGTAGGAACACCACCAAAAGCATGCTACCAAAGATCTGGAAGTCAAGTGTACAGCAGAAATGGTCTTTCTGCACAAAATCCATGTGTCCACAATTAGCCTAATGCCACCAAGCTTTGTCTCTTTTCTGAAGCCAAAGGAAAAGTCAGGGACTGTTTATCTATATAACTATTAGTCACTCAATACTCAAGAAACCAGTTCTCTGTCTTCTGGGACAACTGTTCTCATTGGAAAATGGGTCACACTGAGTAATCAACATTATTTGCTCTGTCTTGATTTGTAGTAGCATATCCTCGTTGCTATTTTTTCAGCCTTAAATCTAGTCACCATACATATAGCTGCTTCCTTCTTTAGTGGTAATTAGCATTAAACCAAAAGTGATTCCACATCAAAAGTGAACTAAACACAACCCTTCTTACCTTTCATGCCAAACTTGGAGTGTCTTGCCAACTTCAGCAGAAACAGCATTACCAGCAGACAGAATCCGACCACAGATGCAATTACCACCACAGCATAGACCTAAGGAAAGTAAGAGAGGACACTTACGACCTAGCTAATGAGTTTCCTACACCACAATGATGGTTAATATTGATGATGATGCTGGTTAATATTGGTTAATATGTGGTTAATATTACCCACAATGATGGTTAATGAAATAATGATGATGGTTAATATTTATTGAGTGCTCACTACTTGCTCTTCTAAGAATGTTATATACATCAATTTATTAATCCTCAACAACGCTATGATGAAATATTTACAAATCAGAAAACAAAGCTAAATCTTATAAAAATTGGTACCTAATTGATATTATGTGTATAGATATTATATATATTTCCATCTCTACTTCTGTCTTTCTTCATCTACCTAATCTCTCTCCATTTATCTAATCTCTATTTATCTATCTCTGTCTCTCTATCTGAAACATGAACGATAAAATGCTGATAATTTTTGAAGTGTCAAGGATACAATGAGGTTCATTTAGTATGGTCCCTATCACTGATCTTATTTTAAAATTGCCCATATGGGCCTCCCCGGTGGCGCAGCGGTTGAGCGCTGGGTTGCGAAGCTGCCCGCAGCCTCTGCAGCGCCAGTTCGATCCCCGGCTGCTCCCCGGCCACCGGAGGAGGGTCCCACATGGTGCGCAGACCTCTCCTGGCGCCCGCTGCTCCCCTCAGCAGTGTACTTCGGTCCTTCTGCCTGCCCTGCTCCCCACTCTGGCTCTGGTGAATTCTCTCACCCTCCCGCGCTTCTGACTGTACCCAGTGCTTGTATAAATAAACAAATAAATAAATCTTAAAAAAAAAACAAAACAAGAAACTAGATACTATTAAAAAAAATAAAATAAAATAAAAATTGCCCATAATAGAAATACAGATTTTTGTGAGGTAATGCTGTTTACAAGATTCTTTGTGTTTTAGAGGCATAGCTTTAAAGTTGATTGCCATTGCTCTGAGAAATCAAGGTATCCTGTAGCAGTAACTAGGGCTGGAAGTGCGCAAGAAGGCACTTGTGGGTGAGTTCAACCTGTGAAAACTCATTCGATTGTAGATTTAAGGCATATGCACTTTTCTGTATTTATGATATAGGTCACTTTTTTTGGTTTAAAAGTGCAATTATAAGATGTGGGTTATACAAGTAGAGAGAGTAGATAAGTATCAATATGGATCCTATCATAGCCCTGGACTGAAGATCACAGAGACACAAGTACATAAGGCTACATACTTATTAACCTCTTTGAAACAAAGATAACTCCTTCCATTCCTGCTGCTCAGTTGAAGTTCCTGCTTCCTAACATAGTTTGATTCCATAAACCAGAAGTTGGCAAACTTTTACTGTATAGGGTCAGACAGCAAATATTTTAGACTCTGGAACCATAGTCTATCTGTTGTAATAACTCAACCCCACTGGTGTAGCATTAAAGCAGTCATAGACAATATGTGAACAAACAGATATGGCAGTATAGCAATAAAACTTTATTTATAAGAAGAAAAGATGGTTAGCCAAAACTAGACATGGTTTGCTGACTCCTCTGAACTGTTAGATGTCCATATTGACTTAGATGCTTAAGCTTCATTGTTTCATTTAATCTGTATAATGATCCTCAAGACAAATATTATCCCATCTGTGGTAATTATTAATGTTAGTTTCCAAACATTTCAGTTCTTCCCTGTGATTCTCTTTGTAAGATTCACTTCCTGGCTTCATTGTGGTGAGATGTGTTTATATGGTCAGCTCTGGTCACTGAGTTGACAAGAGTCACTGCCAGGTGGAGGATATACTTTGTATCACAAAATCTTAAACTAGGCAGTGATTCTCAGCCAGAGATGCTATTGCTTGCACCTAAGAGAAATTTGGAAATTTGGGGGTGTTATCATAGGGGGGGAGTGAGCTACTGGCATCTAGTGGGTTGAGACTAGGAATGTGGCTAAACACCCCACAGTGCTAAGGATAGCCCCCATAATGAAGAATTACTCATCCTCCTCCCCCAATTTCAATAGTACCAAAATTGAGAAGTCTTTCCCTAGTTCTCTTTCTCGCTGTTGTAATAAATGCTAGCTTTCCAAAAATGCAATGTCTTGTCAGCCTAGTCTTAGAAAGAGGATGAGGCTGACTGAGCTCTCAACTAACACATGTAATGAAGCAAAAAATAAACCTTTGTTGATTTTTTTAAAAGATTTACTTATTTATGCATACAAGAACTGGGGTACAGGCCAGAGATGGGGGGTGAGAGGATTCATCAGAGACAGAGTGGGGAATAGAACATGCATATTGACTGAAATACACTGCTGAGGGGAGCAGCAGGAGAGTCAGGAAAGGTCTGCTGCTCCATGTGGGTAGCTCCCTAGCAGGGGATCGAACTTGTGCTGCAGTGGCTGCAGATAGCTTTATAGGTTGCGTCTTAACCCCTGCACCACCAGGGAGGCCCAAACCTTTGTTGATTTAAGCCACTAAGATTTGGGGATTTTTGTTACTGCAGCATAATTTATATTGACTGATAAAATCATCTCATAGTAAGAGTAGTGTAGACAAGATTAAGAGCTTGGGCTCTTCCTGGGTTAAAAATTTATATTTACCACCTATTAGCTACAAACCTCAGAATTACTTTACCTCCCAGCAGTTCATAATCTAATTTTACTTTGCAGGTTGTTGTAAATCCTTAATAATCAATGTAGATTTTGGGTTTGGAATAGTGTCTACACATCAATAGATAATAAATAAATTATGTTGATAATGAAGGATGATGATCATGATGGTGATGATGATCATGATAAAACTGAGATTTAGAAAAAGTTAAATAAGGAGGCCAAGATCACATCTTTTAAGCTTGGGACTTGAACCAAATTCGGCTCAAGTATAAAACCTGTGATTTATCCTGTGATGTATCCATTATAATACTGCCTCACCAAAGCATGTGACTGATAGTAAAGTTGGGATAACAATGAAAAGATGTGTTCCTCCTGCAATGCATTCTTTCATGTCAGATGGGGACACCATTAAATAAGTCACAAAGTATCAGAAAAGAACAAACGCCAAGCACTTAGCAAGGGTGGAGCAAAGGTGTGACAATTCTCCTCTGAAACTTCAGCCGTGAGTGGCTTTCCCAGAGAGCACTTCTGCAAATATTTGAGTCCAAACTTAACTTGTCCATTTACAGAATGGTTTGGATTCCTAGAAGGCTAATAATGGATCAACTTGTACTAACGAAGACTATTTCCCTCAAACTTACCTAATTATTCTGGGTGGTTTTTGTGTTGTTTTGTTTTCAAGATTTATCTAACAGTTCCATGGAAAATTTATCTAACAGTTCCATAGAAATGAAATCAAAGTATTTTAGCCATAACTTTCTTTACCACATTATTAAATGCCAGATATCTACAGAGAGAAGGAAATACCTAAAAATCAAGTTCAAACTTTATCTTGGAGATAAGAAAACAGAGATGGAGAGAAGTAAGAAGACTTTCTCTGAGGCCCACAACCTGTCACAGTACTAAGTACGGTCTCCTACCTACATTGGAAAGTACTTAAATACTTGGTATCAGCTCCCTGGCTCTGAAACTTCTTTTAATCTAATATCCCCCTGTGAGCAGGAACTATCTATCTATCTAACATCTGATCCACATATAATTTTAAAAGTTTCTTTAAATTCTCACAGTATTATCAGGCAGATTTCTAGGCATCTTAGAATCATAACATCCAGACTTTCAACAAAGATTGTCATTAACCTTGCTTTCCAGTGACCCTACTTTAGACAGTTCAAATAAAATTAATATGCAAATTAAGGGCTTAATTTCATCACTTGGTTCAAGAAAGAAAACTAAGATTAACATATAATTTTTACTAATTGCATTACATAAACACACCCATCCTGGATTCTTCATATACCCAAATAATTTTCTCACACTAAGAAACATTAAGTGATTTGGTACTAGAATAAAAATGGAAATGACTGTACAAAGCAGAAACATTATGTTCTTGATTTGCCACAGCATTTGTCCTCATTATTTCAGTGTAATACATACAGTCATCTATGGGAGTGCGTGTGTGTGTGTGTGTCTGTGTGTCTGTGTGTCTGTGTGTCTCCATCTACTGGATATGAAGATTTGGAATTGTAGTTTGGCAGCATCTGCTTATGAGCACCCCATTTCTACTACCCTGGCTCTGGTCTAAATGTGAACCACATCTCTTTATTACTATACCAGACTCTAAGTTCTGTTCTGCAACTCATTCTATAGTTTTCATCATTCATTTATTTTACTAAGTACCTCCTTGGTACCAGACACTATTCTGGGGGCTGGGGATACAGAAAAATACTGACCAGGTTGCCTATACAATGAGTAATCACACTGAATAATCTAGGGGAGGGAAAGAGACACGTAAACAAATAAATAAGCAAGCTTATTACAGAAAATAAGAAGAAAATTAAACAGGGTAATGGCTGCCTGCTGGCCACCCTCACTAACGCCATGTGAAGCCCATCAGGAGCTACACGCCTTTTAGAGGGGACAGCAAATGTAAAGGTTGTAAATCAAGAGTAAGCATGAAGTAATCATGAAAACATTAAAAGAACAGGTGTTAAGCGGTTAGAAGAGTGTTGTCAGTCAAGTCAGAGACAGCTGAGGGCAAAGTATGGCCATCATGGGGAGTATGGTTTTATAATAAAATTTTATTAAAGTTGCACTGGAAAGAATCGAGATCTGATTTGTACTTGAAAAGGATTACTGAGGTCACTGTGTGGAGAAAGACTGTACGATGAGAGTGGGAGCAGAGGGGGGTGGGTGGGTAGGCAGGGGGCCGTCGTGGTCATCCAGGAAGACCCAATTGTGGCAAACTTTCTCTGTAAAGGATCAGCTAGGAAACAGTGTTGGCTCTTCAGGCCACATGGACTTGGCTGCAACTACTGCACTGCCACGGGAGCACAAAATCAGTCACAGTTTGAAAATGGGTGTGACTGTTCCGATAAAACTTCAAGGGCACTGTTTTTTTCAATTTCATGAAGTTTCCATGTGTTTCAAAATATCATTCTTCTTTTGTTTTGTTTTGAACAACTTAAAATGCAAGGACTAGTCTTTGCCTGCAGACCACACAAGAACAGGCTCTGTGACTTTTCCACCCTGGGTTTGTGTGCGGCCGTGGCAAAGAAGGTGGGGAGAGGCAGTGGGTTTGGGGTTTATAAGGAGGCAGAGTTGACCACACATGAGTCTGTGTGCCTAGGACATGTGAGGAAAAGAAAGGAATGGAGAAAAGCCTGCCGGGACCTCTTGAGTGAACCCCCTTCATCACTCCCTCGCTGTACAATAAATCTAACCATTTGCCCATGTGATTCAGGACCTCATGGTGTGGAACAAGCAACTTCAGCCTTGCTCCCAACCACTGCCCTTCATGAGCCTGACTATCCAATGAAGACTGTTCCCAGTCTGCAAGCTCTTGTTCACACACCTAAATTGCCCTCTCCTCTGTTCCTCTATCCAAATCCCAGACGTCCTATGCTGGTTGTGGAAAATGCCACCTGTGGCACCAGGCTCTCCTGGTTCTCCCAGCAGGAAGGAGTGGAGAGCTTGCTCCACTATCTCTCTCCTCATATTCTTCAACTTCTGCTTGTAGTTTGGATGCCCATATTCACATTCCAGGTCCCTGACTGAAGGTAATTTCCTCAATGAAAGATCTGAGTTTCATTCATACTTTTAAATCTCACATCCAGTCCCTTCCAGAACCTACAGGTTCTCTTCCTAACATTTGCTGGGCACTGGGACTTTTATTTAAATACTTAAGGAGATATTTTTGTGGTGTGGAGGACAAGAATAATTTTAATTATAAAGATTCCTGAACAAGAAAGCTGGTTTCTTGCTCTTCTTAGTGATAACCTTTCCAAAGATAGATTTTTTTTTTTTTTAATAGAGGCATGGTTATTTATTTATTTATTTGTTTGTTTGTTTTGTTTATACATACACTGGGTACAGTCAGAAGCGCGGGAGGGTGAGAGAATTCACCAGAGCCAGAGCGGGGAGCAGAGCAGGCAGAAGGACCGAAGTACACTGCTGAGGGGAGCAGCGGGCGGCAGGAGGGGTCTTTGCGCCTTGTGGGACCCTCCTCCGGTGGCCGGGGAGCAGCCGGGGATCGAACCGGCGCCGCAGAGGCCGCGGGCAGCTTCGCAACCCAGCGCTCAACCACTGCGCCACAGGGGAGGTCCTCAAGATAGTTATTTAAAATAGGAACCACACACATGAAACCTACAAAGTCCTATAAACCAATGTTACTTCAATAAAATAATTTTTTAGGGCCTCCCCTGTGGCGCAGGGGTTGAGCGCTGGGTTGCAAAGCTCCTGCAGCCTCTGCAGCGCCAGTTCGATCCCCGGCCGCCAGAAGAGGGTCCCACAAGGTGCACAGATCTCTCCTGCTGCCCACTGCTCCCCTCAGCAGTGTACTTTGTCAATCTGCCTGTTCTGCTCTCCTCTCCCCTCTGGCTCTGATGAATTCTCTCACCCTCCCACGCTTCAGACTATACCCAGTGCTTGTATAAATAAATAAATAAATCTTCTTTAAAATAAATAAATAAATAAATAAAATTTTTTTTTAAAGAAAAGAAAATGGGAACTACTAGCAATTAAGGTGGTGCACAAAGGGAAGCAAATAAGTCAGAGGCCATTAGCACCTCTATGGCTTCTCTTAAACCTTTCTGTTTTGACCAACTAACCTTTAATGGCCCGTCTACATCTGGACCTTAAAACGTCTTGTTGAAAGACAGGCATTGAAGCAGCTGCATTCCTCCAACTTAATTAAGCATCCAACATACTCAGAGCCAATGTAGGGAACAACTATTTATCCAACTCACCGAGAGATGCTCCCGACCGGTTTTGTCAGTCATATCTGGGGTAAAGCTATCATTGCTTCGGTTCGTGGTGTCCCCTATGTCATTTGCTGCAGTCCCATAATCTTAAATTAGAGAAAGCAACAGGAGGAGAAACCATGAAGTTGTCATTAGGCTGCCAACAACACGAGGCTACAGAACAAAGTAAGACAAATCACAAAGATTCCAAACCACTTACAGCCTGCCTGGGAAGGAATGATCCAACTGTTGGGTTAAATCTCATAGCACTGGGATTGCATGATGCCAACATTTTATGCAACCCAGACCTTTACACCATTGTTTTGCTGATCAAATTCTCAAACAGATTTAAAGTTTTTCTTTGACCATAAGAATACATCCCTTTTTTTGATGAGGAGTTTGATATAAGTATGAAAGAATCAATCATCCAAGAGTCATAGTTTCATGGACCTGGAAGGGTTTTAGAAGTTGAGTCTAGCTGCCAATGTTACAGCTGAAGAATGTCAGCTGAGGAAAGTTAAGTGACTAGTTCAGGGTCATTTGGTAGGAAGTCGGCAGAGTCTAGACATGTACACCACTTGAAATCAGCAACACTGATTCAGGGCAGTGACTTCTCACTGGGTTAGGGGTGGTCACCCAAGACAGAATGTAGGATCAGCAATATGGTCTCTTTTGAAGAGTCCTGAATTGCCAGTGTTTCAACTTCAGAATTAATAGATAGGAAATTGTGCCAACACGATATTTAAAATTCCAAGGATAGTTCTTACACGGCCATGTCTCAAATGTAGTCACCATATTCTGAATCACTTAAACCTACATGGATCAGGAGGTAGATAAAGGACTGAGGCTTTTGTAGGCCATCAAAGCTTTTATTAATAATATTATCTATTAAAGGTCATAGAGAACTCTTGGTATCTAAAATGTGAAACACAATGGTGTTTATAAATGTTTCGCATTTTTATTCTAAATGGATATGGTGCTTTCAATTTCCATCCTGAACAAATAGCCTCATTAAGTCAGCCTCAGTAAACTTCCCTCTGTAGAATTATCATGCCAGCTTTGGAGCAACCAATCCAAATGATATTTTTATTAGCAGAGTGTTCTTTTGAATGTGAATGAAAGTAAAATAAAAATCATCTATTTTTTCTTTGCTGTTCTATTATTTTTTAAGATTTATTTTATTTATTTATGCATACAAAAATTGGGGTATAGGCCAGAGGTGTGGGGGTGAGAGGATTCACCAGAGACAGAGTAGGGAGCAGAATAAGCAGATCTACCAAAATACACTGCTGAGGGGAGCAGCAGGGGAAATAGGAGAGGTCTGTTGTGCCATGTGGGTTAGCATCCCTGACCAGGGGGCTCAAACTCAGGCTGCAGTGGCTGGCAATAGCTTGATTGTGCTGAGATTTAGACCCTTGCACCACACCACCAGGGAGGCCTTGCTGTTCTATTATTGACTCCAAAACTACATTCTTACCATTTTCATTTTGAATATATTAAAGTTTACAAATTTCAAACACAGAAATTTCAATTGTTTGCTTATTTTTCCCTTTTCATATTATATCCAACTCCTCATATGATATTAAATCACTAAAGTATCATTACATCAAAACATTAGTTTAGTCATAACATTTTGACTCAAAGATCCAAAGTGACATTTGAGGCCAATGAGAAGGAACAATTTCAAATCTTGAAGTTACTGGATGGGAGTGCAAAACATAGTTTTTAAAAGTAAAATCACAATTCAAACATATTTCTTTGTGATACAATTTGACATATTCCCTTTAAATCATATCAAAAGAAAAAAAATACATATCACATGCACAAAATCATCCAAACCACAACTTAGAAGAAATAGTTTAACATGCATAAAACAAGCAAAGACAATATAATTCCCTAGTTAAAATCAGCTCAAGTTAAATATACACACATAAAATAAAAACTCAAACATAGAATTGATTTATAGAAAATGTCAAACGTCAATATGTATATATGAGTATAAAATTAAAGAATGGAATATTTTATAAGTTAAATGTGTAAATAAATATAACTTTTTAATCCATCTAACTTTCAACTTTAAAGGTCTTCATTAATCAAACTTAAATTTCAAGCCAAATATTGAAATTTAGCCTGCTGCTTCTTCAGATCATGAAGGTGGTTTGAAAATCTGTTAAAGTTAGATTTTTACACTAGTGAAATGTGCCTATCATTCAATTTAAAAAGCAAAAGTAGAAAAAGATAATTCATTTAAAACTAGCATAGTGGACCTTTTGGTTTCTTGCCTTCCACATTGCTAAGAAAACCCCATTTAATTCAAGGGGTTATAGTTCATCAGAGGATTGACTTGATTTAAACTGATTTAAATTTAAACCCTCAGTTAAGGGTTCATCCATTTTTCTTATCAATAATGGAGGTAAAATGGACTCAACTGTGTCTTGAATCAAATTGAGGATGCTGGGGAAGTTCTCTTCCTTCTGGAACATTTTCAGAAATTCTCCCCCTTTCTCCCATCCATGTGAAGGACAGTAGCCCCTCTGTTGGGCCTCAGGTAAAAACTATTAAGGGGAAAGAACCTTCAGTGAAGTCAGCACAAAGGGCAGGGGAGTGCACAGATGAAAAAAATCTCAGTCCCTCATGACATGGTTGAGCTGTTAGTTGAGCCAAGCCCCCTACCTTTGAGTTTCCTATCTGAGAGCCGAAGGACCTCATTATACAAAAATCATAATTTTGAATTGCGTTTACTGTCATAGCCAGAAACTGATATACCCTCCTTTTCTTGGTAGCCATGGCTTTCAAACAGGTAATTAGTTCCCAATTATGGAATCAAAATGTCTGTTAGAGCACAATAGATTTACTGCTTCCAAGAACAGGGCAAGAGAGAGAAAATGTTATTTACGGCACACACTGTAAATATCAAGGGAAAACAGCCATCAATATTGAATGATTTTTGAAATAGTATTTTGGCCTATATAATGCTTGAAGTGTATATTTAACTGAGCTTAAAGGTCTTATTTTAGACAACCATTTTGAAAAAATAGAAAATAAAGACAACAGGATAGCTACCTTCATAAATTACATCAGTATAATACATGCTTGAACCTATAAAAGCAAAACAAAGATTTGTAAGTACACACATGGTATTTAAAAATTACTGACTTATGTCAACTAAATAAACTAAATATCGATTAAAGTTTTTTTTAATTGAATAGAATGTTCTACAAAACAGGTTAAATAAACCTTAAAACTCTTGGTTTGTATTGTGTTAACTCCTTCCCTCCTTAGTCCCATAACCTCCACCCTCCAAAGAAGAAAATAAAGAGAAATCACAGTCACTTTGGCTGAAAAAAACTTCATTAATCAATAAATACAACAATTTCTTAATTTCATTTTTCTTATATGGTTGGTCATTTTAATTGCAATTTTGATATTTTTATTCCAGAGACAGATGATTTCCAGACCACTTTTGTTATTCTCTGATGATTTGGGAGTTACTTTCAAAATATGTTTGGCAGATCCATTTTCAATGACAACCACATATTAGTCATTGTGTATAATGATTTCTAAAGCACAGTTTTGCTTTTCACTTGGCCTTGGGGGTTGGGGGGTGGTCCCAAGACTGAAGAAACCCCTTTATTTTTGCCCTAATACAACACAGAAAAATAAATATATTTTCTCTATTGAAACCATTCACATATTAGAGATTATAAATAAATGTTATATCAGAATGAAACTCAAAAGCATATCCACTTAATTTTGTTGGATGACGTTAGTCACCAAGATTATCAGAATATTCTATTTTAAAGTATTCCCAAGAGAATTTGCAAAAATACATTTTTCAACTATCATCTGCAAAAAAACATTTTCTACTCAGAACTAACTGGTTCTCTATATAAAAGCCTACTTGGAAATAAAATTAAATTTTTGTATAATATATACCTGATTACAAAACCAAATTTCCAGAGCTACTTACTATGCCTTCAGTCTTCATAATGTAAAAAAGTAAAACTTATAAATCATGAAGCTTACTGTTATCATTCCACTTCTGAAATCTTAGCAGAAAATATCACTTATAGTGAAACTTGAGCCAGTTTTCCATTTATGTATCCCCCAGTGACTAATCAAGCTTAGTCAAACTAAAGAATCAAATAAAATTGGCCCTAATGGTCAAATTAGAGGTTTCATTTTTTACACAGCTCAACTAGCAAAATATCTTTTTCCTTTCAACAGCTAATCCCTTTTAAATTGAGGTATCATTGGTTTCTAACTTAAGTTTCAGTTGTATAGTGTTATGACCCAACATACATTACCTCATGATCACCACCAAGTCTAGTTTCCATCCATCATCACACAATTGATGCCCTTTTCTATTTCACTCACGCCCCTCCCAAATCTTTTTCCCCATGACAACCACAAATCTGCTGTCTATGTCTAAGGGGTTTTTCTGATTTCTTGTTGTTGTTGTTTTGGTCTTTTTGTTTATTTAGCAGGGGGAAAATTAAGTAAATGGTTGTGCACATTGATTCTGGGAGGCTGCCTACAGCCCTGCCATCCACACTTTGCATAACTTAGGGGGCGTCATCCAGACTGTGGTCTGTGTGATGGTACCACCTGAAACTGTGCAGTGCACAACCACGTGTAATGAGCCTGCATCAATTCATATGGAAACACTGATTCCAGTATTTGTATTTCACTTTGAGCTTTATTATCCAAAATACCATTTTAAAGCAGTTTTGAGTTTCAGCACATCAATATGTATTGTCAGGATTTTTTGTAGCTGACATAGGCCCTTCCTGTGAAAGGTCTTAAAGGCTGTCCTATAGTTTGACTGGTAATTCAGTGAGTAAAAAGAGCAAGAAATCCCAGCGGCACCCCAGTGATGTCATTTGCAGAGTGCCTTCCGTCTTCTGAAATTCTTTCCCTTGCATAATTCTGGAGCAAATGGTGACCCCAAGTGATGAGAATGTCCTACGCTTGCCAAAGGAAAATTTCTATCACCCCAAATGAGCAAGTGATCCTTTGAACTGCTCAGTATTCCATTATTCAGAAGACCCCACTCTGATCCTCCTCTTACCAAGCCTTCTGAATCTGCAAAGAACTTGCCACCAGAACCCAGTCATTATTTCTAGACTTCATTCTATCTTTCAATAACCAAATTTCCCTCCAAACTGCCCCACACCCACTTAAGCCAGTTCCCCTTTAATCTGTCAGTCCCATGGTGGCCACACCACCAGGAGGAGCTTACTCTTACCTAATACCCAAGGAAGGGTTAAGGACTGAGCTAGACAGGTGGGCTGGAAGGTATACATACACACACACACACACACACTCATTATCTCAGATATATCCACCTCTCATTGCATAGTCACAGTCAGGGCAAAGGGCATGGCTCAGACTAGCACTACCAAACCATTATGTCCCAGCATGAAACACCATGAGAATTTAACTTTAATTCAGCCTTCCAGGTCTAAAATTACAAGCACATATTTTCAAAGGCAGGAGGAAAGAACTATTTTGTTTAATAATTCATTAAGTTGACTTTTTCTAAGTATTTCGATATATATGTATATATATATATATATATATATATATATGAACCTTCACTTATACTATGATCATTAATCATCCTAGATTACCTGAAATCAAGGGGATTCCTAGACTTTAGATTTTAGTTCTAAGCAAAACCTTGCAGTTTTTCCAGGAATTAGTTATCCCAGACAGAGACTTTCAGTGCTAACCAGGACAAATCAGTCACCTGGTTTTGTTCTCATGCTCCCAGAGACACTGCACATGGGATTGGTGGGCCTTCTGTGATTCCAAAAGAAAGTAAGATGAGACTGAGGATTCAAAGCCAGATTTATATAAGGGACACACTGAAAGGGACTCAGGGACTATGACTGTCAGACGGGTTTCATCAGTACCATCACAGTAAAGGAACATCAAACACATTACTGTCACAGAGCTCCCAGGAAGGACTAAGAACATCAAATCCAATCAATTTATTATAGCAAATGTTGGATGTAGAAAAATGGGATTTGTATTAGAATCCAAATAAAGTAGGTTAGCCAATAATCTGGAAAACAGACCATTTTCTAGATTTATGATCCATATCAATGATTGCATTTCTGACGAAGTTTACCAGCAAAACCAGCAGTACATGTCTAAAACTTTCTGAAAAGCACTATTCCTAACTGCATGTCCCCAGAGTATAACACCTATTGCCACATTACTTTAATTGTCAATAAAAGTCAATTTGGTGCAAATTTATGAAACTGGCAGAAAGACATGTGGGAACAACCATAATGGGGTTTCTTCCTCTCTACCATACTTCACGATGCCTGATGAAGGCCTGTTGCTGCAAGAAAGAAATGCCTTTTCACGCACAAAGGTTTACGCAGCCAGGCACATGGGCGAATGAACACAGATACCTAGTGTTTATGAAAAACAAGAGTTGTGCTACTCCAGCTGCCCTCTACTCATCAAGAACAGCATTTTGTTTCCAGCAGCTTCTCAGCCAAGATAACTTTCCATAATATTTACCCTTCAGTAGTGAGGTAGTGACTAACATCGTCTTAAATGTACAGAAAAACAATCATCACTTCCTTTTTTAGACTTCTGGCAATGGTCAAATTGTGAAAATATCCTGCCATTTTTTAAGTCTAATCTCTAACAGACTCCTTTCAATACATTCATTATAAACCATTACATGGTAAAAGCAGAAGTCCCTGCTGGAGATATTCAACTCTAAAGGGTGAATGAGGAAAGGTAAACACTGGTAGGAGGGGAAAAAAAATCCAACAAAAAGAGGGTGAATCAATGATAAATGGGCAGCATCTGCTCATAGTGGAGACTTAAAAAGGGTTATGCCTCTTTGAATACTGTCCTACTATCTTCATCAGGTGAGAAATCTCAGATATAGGCAGCAGGAGGTGGCACCAAGACCTAACACTTCATGCTGGGAGTCTCTGACTAGAACATGGAAATCTGGAAACTCCACTTATGCCCATGAACACTGCAAACAGCTGTGTACCTCAACCACTCACTTAAGAGCAGGAACCCCAACTCCTTCCCAGCCAAAAGACGAGCACCAAATCAGCACAGAGGAGCTCGAATGTCTGCTTGTCTGATATTCATATCCTATTTTCTGATGTCTATGGAGCCACTCTGGGTGTTCCCCTCACTTGGACAGTCATGTCACTTCAGGACATTCTCAGCCCTGGTCCCCAGCTGCACAGCAGGCTGGACCACCTAGACTATGTAATTGCACCCTATGGCCTTTGCAAAGTCACCTAATGACACATTTTTCAGAATATATTCCTGCTGCAAAGTGACATGTGACTCCATTTGGCACTTGATCCAACTCGTGTTGTTAGGAACTAAGGGCAGAAGTCTGACAGGCCCAGGAGGCTGCCTGAAGTACTCCCAGGGAGAAGAATAGAGACCAAGTTGCAGCCACACAGCATCCTGACACAACTCTGCTTTAAATGTGCGACTTCCACACCTCAAGATATAAACCCTTAGGGCATTTAGACTTCCAAATGTGGATGATAATATCAAACTTTTCTCCTGAAAATATCAACTCAAAATACTTCACCATCCTCTTAATCCCATGCTAAAGGACTTAAAGTGAGGGCCTTTTTACTTCCATTTTCTCATCTGCCATAGCTGATGAGTAAATCTTCATGAGTAAATCTTTATGACTTTTTTCACTGTAACACTCTACAGTTAAACAGAAAACACATTTGTAGGATTTAAAAAAAAACTGTGAGAAGACTGGTATCAGAGCAGTATGGTTCACCTTCCACTCTGCTGTGAAGATAAAAATAATGGAGGGGCCAGAAGACTCATCTGTTTCCTCCTTTAAGCTTTTTCTTTCTCTTAAATGCCCCAAAAGAAAAAGACTTCTATCTGTTCCATTTGCACACTTGGATGTGATCTTGAAAAATATTTCAGAGAATTTCATATCATAAGACAATAGGAAAAGATGCGCTCTTTTCAAGTAAATGATCCTTGCTTTGTCAACAATGCTTTCTAACCCATGGCAGTCCATCTTGAGTTTCCAGATCCTTCTCTCTTACCTCTCTGCATCCCAGGCTGAACTC